TTTTTTTTTTTTTTTTTTTTTTTTTTTTTTTTTTTTTTTTTTTTTTTTTTTTTTTTTTTTGCTTTTCAGAGTGAGAGCGGCCATTAACGTGTGAAGAAGCTTAAATATATAAGAAAAATAATTTTGTCCGCCATTAAAGGGTACCATCAAACTCTGCTTCCTTAATTAATGCTTTAAACTAAAACCTTAATTTTATGTCTAGAACTCTCCTTTTTAGTTATTTATATATAAGAAAATGTAAGTGTACATCTCATTACACTAAAGTTTGTCTTCGAAAGCTAAGATTACCAAGAAGAAACCATTTGAAATTTTAAAAAAGAATCCAAATTGATGTATATAACTTCGTTAGTAATTAATTTCATTGCTTTACTTTAGAAATAAGCTTTACATCACTTAACTCCTATCCTCTCGTTCTTTTCTTCTTCTTCCTTTATTCACAGTAAAATAATAAAAAAAAGGTTCTAAAACTCCTCTAGGTATCATCTCCCTCCCCATTTCAGACCGTTTCAGTTTCAGATCTGCAACGGGGAGGAGTTCTCCCTGAACAAAGGAAGAAGAGAGAAAGGAGAGACAAGAATGGAAGAAAAGAAAAGAGATGACACAAAGGAAAAGAAACAGGCAATGGTTTGCAACACACGACAAATATCAAAATGCTATCAAACTCAAATATCAAGAGTTTTTTTGTCGTGGAAACGCTATCAAACTCAAAGATTATGATGGTAAGAATGTAGACAGATTGAGATATACAGGAAAAAAATAAATCAAAATGATCAACATAGAAAAACAAATTAAACCTTACCAACAAATACAATTACATTAATTAACCTAAAATATTACGAGGGAAGTGAGTACACTGTAATGACATTGCTATGCAGATTACACATGACAACTTCAAAAAATTTGTAGCACAATGTCAAAGAACAAGACAACTCATAAACAGAAAATAATAATACCAACAATGATTTGAAGTTCATACACAAACTAATGGATAATAATTGTGTGCATCGAAAACCTTCTATACCGAGGGAAAGGGAAAATGCTACATCTATGAAACAACCCATTATCCTTACGCAAAAGGATTTCCTCCGATTGAAGCAACAGATTCCGGAGGAGCAATGTTCCTAAAACAGACCAAAAGTAATTCAAATCACCAGTTAACAACGATCTAAGAACAATTGAATAGCACAGCAGGACTTACGATATTTGAGAGCCTGGTGCTTGCCCTGCCATGAGTGATAACCCACCTGTGTTTAGAAACAAGAATAAAAAGGTAGAACAGCTTAATATTTCTAATTTCTAATATATAAAAATGAATCCATGTTATCCGGTAACAATTAAAATTATTGCAGCCCATATTTATGCATGTTTTGATAAGAAACAAAAACAATGTCACTGATATTTCACATGAAATTTACCCCAAAGGTCTTTTTCTTGTCCCTATTTATATTTATTTTAGTTAAACAATAAATATGAGGGTTCGAATCTCTGACTCCTTGGTCAACAACATATGCTTTAACCAGTAGAGCTAAGCCCAAACATTTTGATAAGCTATACCAAGATTTTTCTTATCCGACTAAGATATAACAAGAATTTTGAAAAAATGTAAGAGCGAAGCAACTAATTGCAAACAACATTATCAACTGAATTTGGTATCAAAGAAACAGGTTACCTTGTCCTGCAGTTGGAATAAATGGCGCTGGATTTTGAGGAAACCATGGTTGTGAACCACCAATCAGGGTGGATGGCAACTGTGTATTAGGGAGAGCAGACTGCAAAGAGCTCATGTCCAAAAACTGTGAAATGCCATTAAGAAATAGAGAATTACTACGATTAGATAATCCATGTCTTAAAGCAAAGACATTTATCGATGACGAGTAAGATTATATAGTAAGGAAAAGGAAAAGCATCCAAAATTATAAAGAAAGTGGTTAAATAGCTCTTACATTACCAAAGTAGAAAAGGAGAAAAAAAAAAAAAACCAAGTTGTCATTTTTAGGCTAAAGCTAAGAGATCACCATATTTGGGTTTCTAAATGCATTTACAAGTTAATTTCTCAATAATTTTGAAGAGCAAGGCAGAAGCTCTAGGGGCTTAAGATAAGGGGACTCCTTCCCTTACCTCTTTCACATTAATTCCTCATTTCACTTTAGTAGATTAATCACCAAATGTAGAGAGAAGAATCATAATGATGATTCGACCCTTTTCATCCTATGATTCGACCCTTATAGTAGGAGAACATGCATGCAGATGATTCGACCCTTTTCAGCGCTCAAGAAAAATTTGAATTAGAAAAGGCTTCTACCTTCCAATATGTTTTCAAAGTAACTTCGAGGCCTACGAAAAAAATATATGGACATAGAGAGTGAATGAGTATAAACTGTTAGGAATCACGACTCTCCACAATGATATGACATTGTCCACTTTGAGCATAAGCTCTGCTTTAACCATTCAGCCATGGATGCTTAGCGGAGATCCTTGTACATGGTGAATAACCAAATTCCAATTAAAATTAAATTTTTAGTATAAATCAATGTAATTTAGGAGGTAAACTATGGTAACCATTGACCTAGGAAAACCCGTTGTATATAGTGTTTTTAACCAAGAGGAAGAAAGTCTCAATCTTCAAGGGAGTTGACTCTAGTGCACTCACTTCTGGAAAAAGGTTATTTATCCTTGTTCAAAATTCCAGGTAATCAAATTAAGCAGAAGTTCAAAATTGAGAAAGGAGAATTGAAGACAGTGACAGAAGAGCAGGATGAAGAATTTCATCTTTGCTTTAGTTTAGGAAACGGCATATACGCAGCATTATTAAACCTTCACATGATATATGATAATGACATCCTATCAGATTTTATTCGGAATTACTTTATTGTGCATCCAAAACCTGGGTCATAATAATTCCTATCAGACAACAAAGTTCTGATACTGTAATATATGACAAGAGTCCATTTTGGATAAGAAAGTTACACACCTTGTGCGTTTAATCTACATACCAAAAAAAGTTATCAATTTCATTGAAACTCAGAAAGATAGGAGCAAATTATTGTATTATAGTTGTTTGTCATTTGGAAGGGAAAATAGGGTATTGTCCATTATATGTCATTTCTAAGATCATGACAGTTAAATTTGGTATGGAAGGAGTGTAAAAAACAGCAGCTTCTAATTCTTTTCTTCCAGAAATAACATTTTTTATGTGTAGACTTTATATTAAAGAGGACATTAACACAGTTAAAACTTCATATAAAAAAAGTCAATGATACATGGTATTTTCTTGTAAAAGTTCATCTTCTTAATCCTTTCAGTCCAATATTTTATGGAAGCCAAATATCAATCAAAAAATCGTACCATATTTGTTTGCTCCAAATCTGGATCATATGGAAGGTCAAATGGGTTTGTGGATTTACAACTGGTTATCTGTGTACCTCTCTCTCCCTGCAAAGAGCATTTAAGTTACAAGATCAAATCATGTACTCATGACGGAGAACATTTGTAGAAATATTTAGCAGGGTACAGTAGTTTTATCTACCTCTGCAACTCCAAATAACAAATGTCCATCGGAAGAAGGCAGGAACTCTTGACCTGGAACTTGAAGCTCGGTACTTTGCTTACCACCCTGTAGGGAGAGGTCTGTGATAGCGTCTTCAAATGCATTCCAAGGCTCCTTATCAACAACAAATACAAGCCAATTAAGTTTCTTTCTATTTACAGCATAATATTAAATAGAAATTGCATCATGAACCCAGTACATCAGGAGTTTTCTTGTCAAGATTCAAGAAGATTCTGCTTACATTGGGGTTCGTCACATAAGCAGAAGCTTGAGCATCAGGCAAATCATTATGCCATTGACTAGTTGCTAATAAAGATGGATCGTGAGCAATGTAATTTGGAGTGGTCGGCCACTGAACAGCAGCATTAGAAGATAAGAAAGGATCAAACTTTCCCAAAGCACCTTCATTGGAAGGAGGATCAAGCTTTCGAAAAGCTCCTTCACTGGAAGGATTCTTCACAGCATTGACATTAACAGAACTAGGAACAGATGATGTTGCTTGCGGTGAATCAAATGTGGCCCATCCTTCATTTTTGGGGACTGCTGGTTCTAATGGCATTTTATCGAATGTTGCTGAATGCTGTGGATTACTCTCAGGAAAGAATTGCAGGGATTGAGGTGGTGGTGCCCTGTGTTGAGGTTGATCTTCAAAAAAAGATGGTGATGCAGATGGCGACTGAAACAAATCCACTGGTGGAGCAGGCAGTGATGCCTGTGACTGGAACAAGTCAACAGTTGGAGTTACAGCAGAGACAGGTTTTGGTGCAAATGGTTCTTCAAAAAAACTCAAATTAATGGAAACTCCAGGAACAGATGACTGCCGAGATGTAGGCATCCTATCCAGATTGTTGTGTGCAATAGGCTCAGGTTCCAACATGGTATCAGTTAAGCCAGCTGAATTATATGACTTCAGAGATGTTGAGTTGCTGTCTATTGAGCCAAAGCTACCGGAAGACATTGTTCTCTTGGAACAATAAAATAAAATTGAAAAGACGTCAAAATCATTTACTAGTTAACAGCATCAACAGTAGTAATAGTAGTAATAATAATAACCAAAGAGAAGTATTAAATCCGTTTAAGATATTGAAGGAAATCACAACACAACAGAAGTACCAGTTTTGAATCTTCAATCATTTTCTTAAGATGCTTTACGTGCTTAAGAAATGTGGAATTTCAGGGACATATTCAGTATTCCTTTTCTCACTCCTAGTCACCTTCTCTTGT